CACACTTTTAACTTTGTTTTACAAGAGATTGTTTGTACCACCTGGGGTTTCAAACAGGTAAGAGGGGCGCGCCTATACATTTGCACCACGTAGATGTCTACTCTGTCTAGCTCCCTAGGTCAGAGGGTGGGCACCGCCACATGTACTTTTGGTTACTGGCAAGGGAAGTTTAGAGTAGTTAGCTTTGGTTTCCTTTTTTTTTTTTTAGATTAGCTAAATACTTTTGGTTTCAGAGTAGGCAAGCGTGGTTCGGTTTTGATATGTTCTTTTCTTTGGTGCCGTCCAGTTTGATTCTTCCAGTGTGGTACTAGGTATCACAGCACTCTGGTTTTATTGATGTTTGTTTTAATAAAAATGGCTTCAAAAGCTCTATTTTGGTCTGTTCCTCACGCTTCTAATCGATTCTCACCAGTTCAGTATTTTAATGCCACATGTTACCGATCCCACATGCCCTAGACAAAATGTGGGGTCGTAACATTTGGGGGCTCGTCCGGGATGTTTAGTCCCTTATAATTTGGCATTTTAATGAGCTGGTGTAGTTGAGGTGGGGAACTGTGTGTTAGCATGAGCTTGAAGCTAATGCTAACTTGTTGCATTTGATTTTAGAGCTTTTTAGTGTGTGAAGCTGTTAGTTTGTTAGAGGGATGATTTGTTAAAATAGCTGGTCACTCCAGTACTCCCATTTTGTGAGTTTTTAAAAGCATTGTTTTAGATTTGTTGGTTGAGCTTAGCTTTGTTTGTGGGTCCATCTGACTCCATCAGATGAGGTGGAGGATGTACAGACTCCCCCTACTGTTGTGGAGGTGGAAAAGTTGGAGAAGCCTGTGGCAGTGGTGCTTGGCCTGGTGTGTCTTTGCCTTTGTGTGAGCTGGTCTCTTTGGATCCAGATATGTGGCAGGCAAAGTGTGTTTAAAAGCCCTATACAAAGTACTTGGAGACCAAGAAGGGATTCAACTGTGACTTGGAGATAAGGGTGAAGGAGTTTGCCTTCCCTCCAACAAAACAGTTGGCTTCTACTTGGATTTTACCTCCTATGGCTGGTCACTCTGCTTCTCCCTCCATTTCTTTGTTTGACCTCATTTTGATTCTCGCTCAACCACCTTTTGATATTAGTAAACACTTGGTGCTTTAGTCTTGGGCAATTGAAGTGACCATCTATTTTAGTTCTTGGATTCTGAATATGAAACAGGTCTGATTTGGTTTCCTGACATTTGCTTGTAGGGTCCTTCATGTGGAGGACCTGATTCGGTCAGTTAATCTGACATTTGCTTGTAGGGTCCTTCATGTGGGGGACCTGATTCGGTCAGGTGTTGTTTGTTTAGTAGGACCTGATTTCTTGTGAAGGGTCAGATGACATTAATTTTGTAGGATCTTTCATATGAAGATCTGATTTGGTCATTTGACATTTTTGTAGGGTCTTCCATGAAAGACCTAATTAGGGTCATTTTTCATTTGTGTAAACCGTTGTCATAGGGTCAGTCCATTTGTCTATGCATTAGCTTTAATCCCTCTAACATTAGTCCTTCAGTCCTCTCCTGATTAAATTTTGTACCCACTTTCTGTTAACTTTAGAAACGCAACTAGAGTTGCTTTCTTTTGGGTGGGCGTGTTACGTGTAAGCACGTATTCTGTTTTTTTTTGTGTGTCTCTGTCTCTCTCCCTCTCTCTTGGTCTCTTCCTTCATAGAGGTACCTGCTCTGGAACCAATCAGAGGCCTGGCTGGTGCAGTTAGGGGAGGAGCTTATGTTTTAAAAGAGGCCTTCAAGATGGCCGAAGAGAGAGGACTGATTACGTGTGCTGTTTTAGTGTGTGTTTTAATCTCTTGTGTTGGGGGTGTGCTTTGTTTTAGGTATTTTACCAGTGCTTCTTTTAACTTAGTTTGTAAGACGGTCTTTTATGTTAGAGGAAGTGCTTCAGCTGTGGTATTTTACCTGCACACTTTTAACTTTGTTTTACAAGAGATTGTTTGTACCACCTGGGGTTTCAAACAGGTAAGAGGGGCGCGCCTATACATTTGCACCACGTAGATGTCTACTCTGTCTAGCTCCCTAGGTCAGAGGGTGGGCACCGCCACATGTACTTTTGGTTACTGGCAAGGGAAGTTTAGAGTAGTTAGCTTTGGTTTCCTTTTTTTTTTTTTAGATTAGCTAAATACTTTTGGTTTCAGAGTAGGCAAGCGTGGTTCGGTTTTGATATGTTCTTTTCTTTGGTGCCGTCCAGTTTGATTCTTCCAGTGTGGTACTAGGTATCACAGCACTCTGGTTTTATTGATGTTTGTTTTAATAAAAATGGCTTCAAAAGCTCTATTTTGGTCTGTTCCTCACGCTTCTAATCGATTCTCACCAGTTCAGTATTTTAATGCCACATGTTACCGATCCCACATGCCCTAGACAAAATGTGGGGTCGTAACAGAGACCTAGGTAGGTGGAATCAGACATGACTGAAATGGGAGAAAAATATGGGAACAAAAAAGCTATTATGACTGAGCGTCAGTTCTGTGTGAATTCGGCCATTCAGGCTAGCTAGGGTAGCTAGCAGAGTGCCAGTCAGATAAAACTGATGGTAAATTACTTGCTCAGAGTGGTGTGATAGCAAACGAATCTCAGATAATCTGAGTTAATTAGCTGCTAATCTACTTTCACTCTGTACTAGATAGATTGCTAGCCTAAGTGACTGTTGTAAGGGAAAGTAAACCCAGAGCTGGTTTATGAGGAGCCTGGCCACTTCCTATTTCCTCTGTTATATCAAAAACAGGACTGCTAAACAGCAGAGGGCGCCATCGAGGGAGTCCTCAATGAATGGCAGTAAATGGGGCTCAACGGCTGGAGTTAAAATAGTTTCTAATCACTTGACCAGAACGTTTCTTTAATTTTAGAAAGTGAAGGGATGTATTTCACTAAAAAAGCAAAGAAAACTCACCTATATTTGTCCATTTTTCTACCGCAAACAGGTTTTGGGCAGCAGAAGGCGGGCATTATTGCTAGAGAGTGATGATTGATTGGCGAGCGGAGCAGCTCATTGGCTGTTCGCGCTCACTGACGTCATGGACGTACATGAGGCGCCGTTTTAAACTCCTATAACTCGAGTTTAAAAGCTCTTAAAAATATAACAGCACTGTTAAAATGTTTTATGCTGTTCAGTGTTCAGGAAATGATTGTATTCATTTACATTAGAAATGTTATTTATAAACTATGATTTTGCTCAAATGCTCCATATCAACCCATTCATTTTGGACTCACTCGAGAGCGCCCTCTAGTGTTTGAGAAACCCAGAAGACATTGCAGAGTGGTAATTTTCCTCTTTACAACTTCTCTGAGTAAACCTGCTGTATCACCCTGTACCCTGAGTAGGTCTTTCTGGGCGAGTTCTTATTTTGTCTCTTTAAGCACATGAAAGTAATCAGATACATTATGTATACCTATTAAGCGCCTGGACTGGGGCAGATATCTGACTTTAGGCAGCACTCCATCTAGTATATCAATGTCAGTACAGCAATACATTTCAATGGCCCACAATTCCCTGCACGGTGGACCACACAGGGTGTTGAGACATTTAGTTTTACAGGATTTTAAAGTTGTGAAAGTAGTGAATAAATGTACTTTGGAGCTGATAGGAAAGTTTCTCTGATAGAAAAACAGCATATCGCTGTTGTCGGAACAAAACCTCGCATCTCCATTTTTGAGTTTTTGACACTATTTGAAAATGCCTGTTAACCTTTATATTATGTGTTAATTTCATGATGAGTGGACTAAAAGAAAAGGCCTAAAAATGACTTGGAAAAAAGTCTGGTTCCATTGACTTACATTATCAGTAAAGTGGGTTTTTTCCTTCTCCTGTAAAGTCGCCATTTTGGAGATACAGGGTTTTCTTCCGACAGCAGCGATATGTTGTGTTCTGGATGCTGGTGTGCTGTGCTGGTGCAGCTGAACCAGCACCAGACCAGCATAAACCAGCTTAGACCAGCATGGAATGCAGGCTGGTCTAATCAGCTTTTTAGCAGGTTGTCCATCAATCACTGGCAGCAGTTTTACCTCTGCCACCTCTTTTTCTTTATGATAATATTAATATCGGCACTAGCCTTCCATCAAGCAACACAAAACTAATAATCAATATTAGATTAAAGATTAAAGTCGGAATATTTCGAGAAAAAAGTCGTAGAATTACGGCATTAAAGTGGCATTAATACCAGGAAAGGCTGCAGTATTGTGGCCAAAGGCTTTAAAAAGGGAAGGAAGCCCCTCCTCGTGTTAAATGAGGGTCGCTGAGTTGGTGGAGTTCTACTTTCATATCGATTCACCCATAAAGAAACACTTAGTCCCCCTGTCTCTCCTGCACATCAGCACCAGCCTGTTATTAGGATAAGAAACGACTGAAGCGGCTGAGCAGGGAACTGATTATCTAGAATAAAGAGTCAGACGGACTCGGAGGAAACTGTCTGTCTGTGTTGTTGAAGGAGAATCGCAGGCAGGGTCGTCTACACGGCTATGGGGGGCTACATCTCCACACCATTCAAAGAGGGCATGAAGTTTCACAGACAGTGAGAATGATCAAAATGATCGATCCACAGAGAGACAGGAGTGAGTGGAGCTCCGCCGCCAGTGCAGCAACCGAGACCCCAACGCATTATGGCAGACCCCCCACAGTTAGCCCACTTTATCCTCCAAATATTACTTTTTTCTCGAAATATTACGACTTTATTCTCGAAGTCTACTATTTTTATTTTTATCAACCGTGGCCCTAAAACGCCGTCGTAGTGCATCATGGGAGTTGTAGTTTTTGCGGAGCATCCTCCACGCTAACCTGCGTTGAAATGACGCACTTTGGAAACTACAAATGCGATCCGATCTCAAGGCGAGCTTGCATTAGCAGAATGTGTTAACATTCTGTTATTTGAACCAAACACGGTCGGTCTCCCATATAAACGCCAATAAATACGAAATTTAGGTGTTCGTGTCGGTACTAACAGTCCGACCTGCGACTCGGAGAAAACCACAAATCCATATTTCACAATCTGACATCCACTACTTTCCCCTGCCAGTCGGAGTAGCGGGAGATTTGTTATGGCCCCGAGAAGACCGACAACATCAGCTCATCGCAGATTTACAGACGGTTTTGTCATGAACGGTGTTCGGCAGTGTGTTTAACCTTTCTCTCCACTGGACTATGACTCTTCCCAGGTAAAGCGAGTCTTTCTTGTTGTCTTTTTAAAAATGATTCACGCTAAGTTACATATCGAGACCGGACTACGAGTCACTGACGGGGCAGCAGCGCTAGCTAAGTTAGCTTAGCTCGCTAACTTCTCCAACTGCCCTTTATTCGTATTCTGAGAAATTGTGATTTAATATAAGACGCGCATTTAGGTGCCTGCGGTGTAGCAGACATTTAGGGCTTCTCACTGATTCCATGAGCTGGTCATATTGATGTTTCGCTCTGTTTTAGCGTATTGGTCATAAGGCTGAAAGATTAATCGTTTTTGTATCGAAATCGCGGTTTAAGAGCGCGCAATTTTCAAACCGCAAGAGCTGCATTTTTTTAAATTACAGCGTACACTCCTAAAAAAGACAGTTCTTCAAGGTTCTAAAAAAAGGTGATTCTTTAGTAAAGACAGTGGTTCTATATAGAACAATAAACAACCAAAGACCCATTTTCAGGCTTAAAGGGTTCTCTTCATGGTGAAATGGTTCTTCAGACTGATGGAGAATGTGTTCTACATGGAACCTTTTTGAAAGGGGTTCTGTATAGCACCAAAAAGGGTTTTGCTAGTGTTACAATGTCAAGCTTGTAACAATAGATGAACATTTTAGTGCTATATAGAACCCCTTTCAAAAAGGTTCTATATAGAACACATTCTCCATCAATGTGAAGAACCATTTAAGCCTGCAAATGGGTCTTTGTTTGTTCATTCTTCTATATAGAACCACTATCTTTACTAAAGAACTCTTGAAGAACCTTCTTTTTGAAGTGTGAACATTTTCAAAAACACTGTTTTAAGTTTTAAGAGGGAAAACTGAACCTAATAACACAGAGCTTGTTGAAATGCCTGTAGGTGAGTTTGACCAATCAGAGGCTACCAAACCTCCATGTGTTGTGACATCACAACCACAGCTTACCGGCAGTCTGACCGTTCAGGGGTCGAGCCTCAAGCCAGAAAAGGTGGATATTCTGGTCTTCTTGCTCCAAATAAATCAGGCCTGAATCTCAATTTATAAAAAATAATCGCAATTTAAACTGCAGTTGCAATGTTAGTTGGAAAAATTGTGATTAGATATTTTCCTTAAATCGTTCAGCCCTAATTGGTAACGTTAAATATTTCTGAATTCGTGACGAGTTTGGTCAGTCATAGATAGAATGTAGCGTATTCTTATTATTGAAGGGGAACCCCACCAGTTTTTCAAGGTTTCCTGGGTAATTCAGACCTTGACAGTCATTCAGATCGGTCTGATGTGAAATGATTCTTTTGTAGAGAAACTTACAAACTCTTTTTCTTTACAGTGGTGGTGATAGGAACATGTCTACAACACAAATGTAGCCATTTTATTTACTATCCAAAACCACCAGTGAACCTACACGTCTTCTGAGTTTTATGTGGAGTGTTGATGGAAAAATAGTGAAAAATCTGAAAAAATACATTTTCTTTGGGGACTGTTTTGGCTTAGAACACCCTTCATGTATCCCCTCACCGTAATATATTAAATAAAGTCAGCTTAATCCATATTAAGGAAAGAAACTCATTGTCTTCAGCATCACAATGAAAATCTTAATTTTGTGTGCTTCACAGGTGAGCTTGGCAGAATGACTGAGGAGAGTCTGGGGAGTGAAGATAAGGAGATAGTAGGTTTTCATGACACTGTTTCACTTCTTATTAGAGGTTACTTTTTATTTTTTTATTTAAACACTATCCAAGTGCTCTGTCAGGAGAACTCATAGGCTAATTTGTACTTTTAGAACAGTATTTTTCACAAAACCGGTGAGCTGTAGTTGATACATAAAAGACAGTATTGTAGTGTTTTCTTACATGAATGTATTTGCTTAAAGCTGAGGAGGCGACTGGAGCTGCTGCAAAGAGAGTACGAGAGAACAGCAGAGCGGCTACAGGTGAGTGTGTCTGTGGTGGATTCTTCACCTCTGCTGTAGAGCTTGAAATAGTAGAGACTTTCTCTAATAAAAGGGGTTTCTCAGTCTTTACTCACCTAGTGACATGTCTTCAGGAAAATGGGAAAAAAATGACCAAATTATTGGCTTTAATTGAAAGAATAGTGTTTTATTTAGTGTAAATACCAGATAACATGAAACTAACTCAATTAAAACCCACGTTTTAGCAGTTATGGCAAACTGAAGTTTCTGCCATAGCAGAACAGCAGGCTACGACAGCACGATGCAAGTTTTTTTTGTAGCTTACAGTCCTTGTTTGTCTGAATTCAGTGGGACCCGACTGCTCATATTGAGTTTGATCGGGTTCAGACATCATTTCTTTTATTATTTCAAATATGGAAAAAGAAAGGAAGTATACTGTGTATACATTATTCAAGTTTAGGCAAGGCAAGTTTGTTTATATAGCACCTTTCAAACGCTGCTGTCATTCAAAGTGCTTTACAAATGAGAAAGTTCAGAGTTGTTTAACATAATAAAAAACAACATTAAGAACATGATTAAAACAATACATATAAGAGAGAAAATCATTAAATTAAAAATCAAATTAGAAATTTAAATTAGGATAGTTAAATAATCAAATTAAAAACTAAGGGTTAGATTAGGATTATAAAAAAAAACTCTGTTACAAAGGAAAAGGGGCAAGAAACGCTAACAGTGTTTAAACTGAGCTGAAAGCTGCTGAAACAGGTCTGCTTTAGTCAGAGCATCTCTGATCTTGTTGATGTTCTTAAGGTGATAAAAAGCTGGTTTAGTAACTGCTTTGACACAAAACTGAGATCAGAGTCCACGAGCACATCAAGGTTATGTACTAGTTCTTTAGATTTTAGGGCATAATTGGTTTATTAGCATAATTAAATTGTATCAGCATAATCACAATTAGCATAATTGGAAATTAGCATAATTAAAAGTACAAATAATCAGAAGAAAAATAAAAGAGAAAGAAATACAAATACTACGAACAATAGTAATAGAGATAAATACAGCACTTACAGTTATACTGTTATGGATATAGGTACAGATTGCAGCACAGTGGGTGGGCAGACATCATTTTTTTTATTGCCATATCAGGTGGTTGCTAAGATACAGGCCTAGGCAATGTCAGCAGTTGCTGACAGGTAAAATGTAGAGGACCAAATGTGTGCTGGGTTTGGGTTGGGATCGAATTTTACAGTCAGGTTCTCACAGCCCGCCTCACACTTTTAACAGATTTTACTCTGCTTTTCCTCCTTTAATTTTTCCTCATTATTTTTACTACTTTAAATCCTTTTTTTAAATCGGTCGCGCTGGAGTCACCCACGCTGGAGATCCACGAGGCCCATGCTGGACAAAAATAGTGAACTGATTCAGCAAAAACAGTTTAGTGCAGCCAAAAGATTGTTTGATTTGTTTGGGCCAAAAATATTTTTATATGTTTAGTTTGTTCTTTGTGCAGAAATGTAGTTATAGTGTTAAACAGATGAAGGTTAACATTCTGCTGTATCAGCACTGCACAGCAGGGCAGTAGGACAAGTTCCAGACTAAAAGTGTTTGAGATGCTGTTCAAAAGTTATTTGATGAATAATTTACTTATAGCAGAATTTAATTATTTTATATTGTTTTGTATTTAATTATTTTACGCACTAATGTAAGGTTTTATTCTGCATTTTGAGTGATGATGGGCCGGTTTGGGTCAGTTTCAGACAGAATTTTGTTGTACTTCACTTCTTTAAAATAGAGAATATTGCATACTTAAAACATATTTTACTTGCAAAATATTAAGCACTGAGAACACTGACTCTGTCTTGTTTACATGAGTTGCAATTGACCCAAAAGTAACTGAACTTTAGAACTTTTATATATGCACCAGTATGGCCAAATGGCCAAAAGGTTTATGGAACACCTCTCCTAATTATTGAGTTCAGATGTTTCAACCCCACACATTGATAACCGGTGTATAAAATCAGGCACATAGCCGTGCAGTCTCTATAAACAAACGTTGGCCGTAAAATAGGTTGTACAGAAGAGCTCATTGACTGGTGCGGTCATAGGATGCCACCTTTGTCGGTTTGTGTAATTTCTGCCCTGCTTGATCTGCTCCGGTCAACTATAAGTGCTATTATTGTGAAATTGAAGCGTCTAGGAGCAACAACAGCTCAGCCACGAAGCAGTAGACCACACAAACTCACAGAGAGGGGCCGGTGAGTGCTGAAGAGTTCCATGCTACCACTGCAAGCACGAACTGTGCATCTAGAGCTTCATGAAATGGGTTTTCATGGCCAAGCGCCCGCACATAAGCCCTAGATCACTATGTGCTGTGCCAGGCGTCAGCTGGAGTGGTGTAAAGCACGTCACCACTGGACTCTGGAGCAGTGGAAATGTGTTCTCTGGAGTGATGAATCACGCCTCACTATCTGGCAGACTGATGGACAAATCTGGGTTTGGTGAATGCCAGGAGAACGTTACCTGCCGGGATGCACAGTGCCAACAGTAAAGTTTGGTGGAGGAGGGATAATGAGCTAGGGCTGTTTTTCAGGGTTTGGCCCAAATCTGATTTTCTCACCAAATCTAATTTTTTTTTGTTTGGCTGTTCACAATATCTTTTAAATGTGATCTATATGGGACATTAGTCTGAACAGATCAGTTCCCAAACCGAGCCGCATGCGCAGAAGAACAGTGCTTCATGTCGCTTCACATGGCTCATTCAGAGGTAAACAATCATGACTGAACGAATGCCAGTCGCTCCCGGAGCTTTCAGTTTCATCTTCGCCAGCAATACAGGAGCAATCGTTGACTGACAGCTGGGCTCATCACCCAGAATGTGTTCGAGCTCGCTGTAAAAAGGGTATGTTATTTGGCCACGGTCACTTCTTTGGTTCGTGTCCTCCGTTTCTTTGAACTTTACTTTCAGACTTTTAACTGTTCTTTGACGCTGCAGACTCGTTCTCCTACGGCCGCATTCGGCCATTTCATTCGAAATCCCTTCACACGGAGGCTTTCGGATGAGTCTCTTCCAATTTTTGTACGGAAATATCACCCTCAAATGTTTTTGAGTCTCAGCAGCGTGAAATGATGACAAACGTTGAGCTGGATTGATGTAAAAAACGCATAAATTCCAATCTGGCTGTTCAAACTGAGTCGCATTGCTGCAGATCGGATACGGATCGGATTTCAGTACCACATATGAAAGCGTCTCAAATCGGAATTGAAAATGTCAGATTCAATGCATTTTTTTTGCTGACCTCACTGACACACAAAATCAGATTTGGGCCACTTTTACCTGCTGTGTAAACGTAGCCTTAGACATTTATATACTTCCAACGTCATGGCAGCAGTTCGGAGAAGACCCTTTCCTGTTCTGACCTGCCCCCTGTGCACAAAGCGAGCTCCTGGTGTGACGAGTTTGGTGTGGAGGAACTCCAGTGGCCTGTGAAGAGCCCTGACCTCAACACGACTGAACACCTTTGGGAATTGGAACGTCAGTTGCGAAGCAGGCCCTCTTGTGCAACAGCAGTGTCTGACCTCACAAATGGTGTTTTGACTGTGGAAAGCCTTCTCAGAAGTGTGGAAGCTGTTATAGCCACAAAGGTGGGCCAACTCCATATTAATGCCCATGGTTTTGAAATTGATTGTCAGTCAAGCTCCTGTAGGTGTGATCATCAGGTTTCCACATACTTTTGGCCATTTTTGTATAAGTCTACTTATTTATTGTACATATGTTTATACAGTTTGTCTGTATGTTGTAATGTACATATTGCTCCTCTGGAGAGAGAATATCCTGTCATATTTCTTTGTTATTAAAAAAGGCAGTCGAACTGCACAGCCACTGCCACTGTATGAGGTTAAGTACCATGCTAAATGATTAAAGCCTCTCAGTCTTTAAGGTGTTAGTATGGACCAGCTGTTGCATTATTACTTACTAGTTTCCCTTTATCAGCTGAGTCGGAACATTAAATCAAAGGAACGTTTATGCTTGATCTGTCTAAACAGTGTATGTTTGTGTGTAGAGAGCAGAGCGGAGGGAGGTGGTCCGCAAGCATGTGCAGAACAGAATCCTTGACCAGAACCGTCTGCTGCAGATCGACACGTCAGGTTCTTCTTCTGTGTTAAACTCGGACCTGCCATCTAACCAGACCCTGCCACTGGAAACTGGTACGTATCCAGCTCAACTTTAAGGTGACAGTTTGATGACAAATCAAGTTTACCTCGTTTTCCTCTTGTATAGCAAAGACATGTTTGATGTCCAAAGTCTTCAAAATTGTAGTTTCTGACATACTGTTATCTGTAATAATGGGCAAAAAATCATTATTCAGTATGGTTGATGCTACTGTTTTTATCAGGCATAACATTATGACCACCTCCTTGTTTCTACGCTCATTGTCCATTTTATCAGCTCCACTTACTATATAGGTGCACTTTGTAGTTCTACAGTTACAGACTGTAGTCCATCTGTTTCTCTGATACTTTGTTAGCCCCCTTTTACCCTGTTCTTCAGTGGTCAGGACCCCCATAGACCCTACAGAGCAGGTACTATTTGGGTGGTGGATCATTCTCAGCACTGCAGTAACACTGACGTGGTGGTGGTGTGTTAGTGTGTGTTGCGCTGGTCTGAGTGGATCAGACACAGCAGTGCTGCTGGAGTGTCAGATACCACACAAGCAAGTCTGTTTGAGATTATATTGGGACAGCATGATGCAGTTTTGGGGCAATTCTTTTAGATGATTTAGATATGCAGCATGCTGAATTTCCTTTTAGGGACTGAAGGGTGAAAATATTTTGTGGCCAGTTCTGAAACATATTTGTAAAGAACAATCCCTGATACTATTGGCAAGCATAATTTTGTATTTGTACTTTATATTTTCATTTTATACATTTATATTACAGAAGCTTTATTAACGGATAGGATTTTAGAAAATAATCACACTTACACAATCACAGCATTTTACCTTCTTAAAATTAAGAAGTTTTGGTAATTTCACTTTTTATTCTTTCCAGTTGTTGTAATTTTAACATTATAAAATTTGGTCAGTAGGCCTCAAACTCTGCTTATGGGCACAGCCATTGAGTGCTGTTGTTTTATTGGTTCCCTACTGAAACGTCTGCATGAATTAGTGCATGCTTCATGTAACTGATATGCAAATTAGGTACTAGTGGGCAGGGCTTCATTTCAGACAGTGAAGCTGATTCATCATTTGTGTAGTTCGTACATTGTCGTACATTGTTAAAGGCAGTGCGCCTTTTCTACACAATGTATTCCCCATATTTTAGGTCAGCAAATAGCTGGGAATCACAATGAAATAACACGTTTTATAAGAAATATTATAGTAGAATTGCTACACTGACAATTTCGTGTATAGTTGTATTCAGAACAGTTCACAAACTGCTCCTCCCATGCCCTCCCTCCTGGGAACTGTAAACATTTACAGCTCCAAAGCTCAGCCAAGGACGGTCCAATCCACTTCAAACTTTAGGGCTAAGTAGTGCTTTCCAGCAACACCAACCAGCCTATTAATTTCTCAGGAATCCATAGTTTTGGTCCCTCAAACTCTGTGTAAGCATGAATGTAGTTTTGCTTACATTGGGAGAACTGAATACCAACGTTTCTGAAAAATAAAGCACATCTGGCCTAAAATTGAGAATGTCTGTCTATATGAACCCAATATGTTCTTCAGTAACGAGTCAAATTCTATTTCCATGTCTTTTATCCTTCTTTTCATCTTTTTTTTCCAGTGTTAAAGTGTTTGTTTTAAAAAATGTGAGTATTAAGATCAGACAATGAGTGTGTTTACATGCACTCAATAATCCGATCATAAACACCATACTCCGATCTAGAAATCCGATTAAGAAATCTGATAAAGAAAGCTGGATTTTAGCTCGGTAATCAGATTTCTCAGTACATGTAAACTCGTACTCCGATTTCTATCGGATTTCTCAGTCTGCGCACGCGGGAAATCAGTCGCGAGATGGCAGCAAAACACTTTTGGAGCAGCGCAGAAACCAAACATGAAATAAAGGATTTAAATATTCTTCATCTTCTGGATGATGTATGTTCATATTTTCAGGTAAAGTGGTGTGATGTTCAAAAATAAAGCTGCTCATGAAGTTTGAGTTTTACGTTATGTTTACGTCACGTCTTCTTCTGTGAGTTTATTGGCTGGTTGCAGAGCAGAAATCTGATTACTGTCTGACTCATGTAGACATGGAGTTTCCCTATTATCTGATTACTCAAGTGCATGTAAATGTGTTAATTGGATTACTGACAAAATCAGATTTTCTGCAGTTATTGGATGATTTCACTCAATTATTTATCATATTCTTAATAAGATTTTGCTGTTTGTATTCAGAGCCTGATGGTTTCCTCTCAGGGAAGAAACCCCTCCTCGTCCGTTTCCGTCTTCCCGATGGGTCGGACACGTCTCCTTGTTCCACGCAAACATGTAGGCGAAGCCCCACTCAGCGCCTGCGTTCCAAGCGCAGTCGTCTGCGCCTGCAAAGCAGAGAGAGGGAGTCTGACACTGACAGCCAGGAGAAAGTGAGAGGTGCAGTGGAGGAGAGACGGAGAGTAGAGAATGACCGGAAAACAGAACTGGAAAATGAACCTGAGACGACTAATCAGGAGAACGGCCTGGGTGTGGTGAGAGATGGTGAGAAAGAAAGGAGTGAAACTACCAGAGGGCAGACTGAAGAAGAAGAGAACCCGAATGGATGGAAAGAGAAAGAGGGTGGTGAAGAAAGGCAGAGAAAGGAGTTGATAGATGGGTTGAGGGAAAGTGAAGCTAATTCTGATTTGGCGTTACGGATGATTGTAACTCCCCATTCAGCAGCAGATAATTCTTCAATAGACCACCTTCAATCACCTGGGGGAATCTTTCCCACAAGCCAGGTGGAAGTTAAGATCTCTCCTGTTGGCCAATCAGCAGATGAAGGTTCTCAAACAAGCTCTGCTACCTCTGACCAGTTACTTATGCAGGTACAGTCTTCCCAGTCAGCTGGCCTTTCCGACCAGTCAAAAGATGAGAACGAAGGAGTTGTTAGTGGTGCAGAGAAGGGCTGTGAAGACATGGTGACTGTTCCATTCTCATCGGAAAAGGCTGGTTTTCTCGATTCCTGTACACTGATAGAGGGTTTGCCTTTTCCGGTGGAGTATTACGTCCGTACAACCAGGCGAATGGCCGCAGCCCACAGCCCCGTAGACCTGGACGCTGTCATTCACAGCCAGCTCTCCAGGGGGAGGGGCAGACGACGGTCCAGCCTATCACAGAGACAAACTGGAGGTCATGTGACCTCTGAGGCTTCACAACCAGATGGCAGGGTAGTTTACCAGCCCAGACAGAGAGGGCGTGGTCGAAGGGGGCATAGAGGGCGCAGGGGAATGCGACCGGCAGGCATGACATCAGGTTCCCCAGCAGTGTCATGTACAGAACAGCATGAATCAGAATCAGCCACTCAATCTCCATCCCTCCTCCAATCACAGCCTCCCCTCCCAGCAGAGCCCATCCCACAGGCAGAGGTAGAGTCTCAGGCTGAGGCAATCCCAGCACCAGAGCCTGCCTCGAGTACCCAGCCAAAGGGGACCGTTTTTAAGCACCTTTCAGATTCTCAGCTCTACCTGGACTGTAAACTCCTACCAGATTCTGAGGTGTACCCAGTCTTCAGGAGGAGGCGTGGCCAAGCGGAAAGAGTTGGGTCGTGTTCCCAAGCCAATGCAAGCAGGAGTGGTGAGATCTTGGGTTTTAATCTCAACATATACATTAAAAGGCTTTAAGATTTTGAGCAGTTGATAATGTGAAATAGGCTTTTATGAAAAATAAATAGTTGGTTTTGTATTGGACTCCAGTGTTCCCTCCATATTGAACTAAACATTTTACAACAGGGTGTAAAAATGCATTATTCTGAAGGTGACGATTCAACCGCATCAATTTTCAAATGTTAGAATCAGTTTTATACAGCAGTTATTTCCAGCCACGCAGGCTGATTGGTTGAGCAGCATTCTAGCGCCGATTTGGTCAGACTCTGAAGATGAGACAACACTGAATTCCCAAACTGTCATCACCACTGAGCAGCTTTTCAGTCGGCAGCTGTGACAGAAGAACAGCTAAACAACCTGTAATCAGCCAGAAATGAACCCAATACCAATAATTCGCCAAACAAAATGGGCTGTAAGATGCTTTACAGACTGGCTGGAACAAAACAACATTAATACTGATCTGGCTAAAACTGAGAAAACTGAGCTAAACCTGATATTGCAGCAGTTTTATGACTCAGTCCGTACTTGAAAAGGCGAGGCTTACAGCAGACTGAGCAGCGAGTGAGTGGAGTCTGTTACTCTGATGTAGCAACAAGCTGCTTGTTAAGGAACTATAATTTTGTGGAAGGAACTGCGAACGTTAAAACATATTAAATGCCGCGTTCACAGCCCAATTTATTTATTACTTTATTTGTTTAACTAAAAGCAATAGAACACTCGAGGTCGTGTGTTATCACCAGTAACATCATGGCTGTTTTTGGCCAGTCGCAGTTCCACCAGTCACATTTGAGTATAATTAAATCAAATGGTGAAATTTGCAGTTTTGTGCTGCATCAAATCGTTTCCTAAAATTTACCTTTTACACTTAAATCTACTGTTTCTTTGAGTCCTTGTGATTTAACTGTACCATAGAAGTACTTAACAGGTTTTTCTTTTATTTATGCATTTATATGCGGTAACATGAACATCCAGGCAATAGCATGATACACAAATATGGATAAATAAATTATAAATAACACAAAAAAGTAAATTCTCGCCATTGTTTGTAATCTGTAAAATGCTTTAAGTAGTAATCCTCTGTGACGGTTATGGTTAATGTACATGTGAATGTATGTTTGTTCCTTTTTCAGACTGCACACCTCTTCTGCCTTCTTTAGTTTCCCTCGCTGAAGCTTTGAGGAAGAAGAATTCGAGGCACCTTGGCCAGCTGCTGTCGATGTTTGACGTCCAGGATTTTCACCTGCCTGACGATGAGTTTGGCCAACTGAAACTACAGCGGCTCCGCACGTCCTGCTTGAACCTGGAGCCCTTGACTCCACATTATTCACCTTACAACACGCGTCACAGCAGCAGATGCTTTAGGGCACATGGGGATAAGGACCGTTCTAAAGCAGATGAACAGTTCATTTCAGAGCTCCTACCACCCAGCTGCTCCCTGGAAGGTAGCTTTCCTCTGAGCCAGGTGAGCTCTGCTGAGGGTTCAGTGGTGAAAGGGAATCCAGATGAATCACAAAAGCTCACAGAGACTGCAAACCAGTTACAGTCTGATACTGGCAGCCAGGAATCCTGCGTCACCAGTTCTGAACAAGGAATGAATCAAGGAACTGAGGATCTTACACAGTTGAGCATCAACCACCAATTAAATGAGTCTACCACATGCAAAGGTCGCTCTATAGCAGTCTCAGCCACTGAAGACAAGGAAAAACCCATGATCTGTAACAGAGAACTAAGTGGGGAACTTGCGGTGAATGCTGATGAACCACACACATTTCCACAGACTGATCAAAACAAATGCGGCCATAATGAAGCTCATGAACCATCGGATGATGGGTCCCAGTGCCCGGTGGTCACAAACCTTAGCATGTCCTTTAAATCACATACACAGCATGGTCCTGACCCTTCCCTTCCCTCTCTGGGCATCACCCCTGATCTTTTGACCCCCAACTCACCCTCAGTCTTAACTTCTATTCTCTCTTCTCCTCCTGACCAGAGTATTGCTCTGTGTTCTTCGCAACCTGTGGCTCCAGCTGTGGTGACCATCTGCCAGGCTATGGCACAAAACGAGAGCCAGACTCACGCTAAAAGAGAAATCCAAGCACCATCAGGGCCTGAACCAGGAGAAACCACTGAATCAGCCAGTGAGGTCTGGCTAAGCCCTACAACGAAGAGTCCACTCCAGACCATTTCTGAGCGTGTTCAAGCAATGCATAAGCCTGTTTCTGAGAATGGTCATGAAACCAAGGAGTTGGAGACCCAACACCAAGACATCAAGCAGTCTGAGAATGAGCTTCACACTATTACCGAAAATGTGATTCACCCTCAAACAGAGAATCCGCCGCCTTCTCAGCGTGTGGACGTTGGTGGTGGCAACGAGGCCAAGCCCTGCACCACCAACGAGACATCAGTCCTGTCAGCAATCCAGAGAGCAGCTGGTATGAATATTTTCGCTTCTAATGTGGCTGACCAAACCAATACACCCTCAGAAGACACCGCCCAGGCAGCTGACGCTGAGACCCTTCACCGGAGTCAGCCTACAGGAGCCTCACATCACTCTGACCAGGTCATTTCCTGTAGCACTCTTCAGAAGACTCATACTCTAAAGGTAATAACTCTCCTTCTTTAGTGGCAGTAGCCAGGTCTCACATATTTTGGCTACGTTCACATTACCAGGTTGAAGTGGCACAAATCTGATTTTTTGCCCTAATGTGACTCAGATCTGATGTTTTCAGGGCTGTGTGGACATGCAAATCTGATCTTTTCAAATCCGACCTGGGCCACTTTCATATGTGGTCCTAGATCGGATACGTATCCGATTCGTGGCCATGCGACCTTAATGTGACGCTCAGATCAGAATTCATGTGCTTTTTTTCCACTGCGCCATCACTCAGCGTTACCATGGCAGCAGCGCCGAACAGAAGATAAAGCCTGTGAACGGTGGAAAAGCAGCTCATCTCACCTTTTTCTCCTTTGTCTCGCTCTAATAATGAAGCTGAGAGCTGATCAGAGTTAATTATCTTCAGCGAAGCTCGTTCTGCTCGTTAGTTTGTTTGCTGATGATGAACATGATTCATTTACGTGACGTTACTGAGTAGGATGAGCTCATGAGGGTCATTTCAGGACGCCGGTTCATCACATTAATGACAGATTTGAGTCACTTACCTAAACCAGTGTGAACCATCCTGTCAGAGAGAACGGATTTGAGCAAAAAATCGAATTTGAGCGATGAGGCTTGTAATGTGAACGCAGCCTTTAATGCGAACAATAAGAGAGACGTGGAAATGGAAGGATGGATGGAATAGATGGAAATGGCAAATAATGAATAAAATCATCAAACTTTTCATAAAAGTTTGTGTGCTTGCTGGAGATGAATACACTTCTTGCTGGTAAGAAAGAAATGCTATACATTACAACAGAAGCGAATTCACCAAATAAATAATGTAAATGCGGAAAAAAAGTCACATGGCTGATTTAAGTGCTTTCACTTTCACAAAAACTTCTTATTAACGAAAAACTAAAATAATGGTGATTTCAGACATATGTTGCCAAGCGGCAGATATTGAGTCAATATATTTGCCAGTCCATTTGGTCTCTGTGCTCTTATGATGTAAAGTCTAATCTTTCTTTGTGGCAAATTATTGTTGATGGTTAATAAATAATGAACAGCAATTAAACTATTTGAATCATTTGATAGCCTTATAGTATTTTATACATTTATTGGTACTAAATCAGATTTTTATTGTGGTCTAATTCATTTGTAAATTTAATTAAATGATTAATTTATTAATTGTCATGACTTATCAATACTTTTATGTATTATGCGTTATCAAGTTATGATATGATAGTTATCAATATTAGCACAAATACTAGAATCAGCTTCAGTATTCCAAAATTCATGCAGGACAAATGGGGCTGTAAAGTGCAAACAGGTTGTAGTTGCTTAGTCTTAAGATTCCAGTGTGGTTTATTTAATACTTATACAACAGTTAAATAAATAAAGCAAGAAATTAATAAATTGGGCTGTGAACGCGGCATTTAATATGATTTAATGTTTGCAGTTCCTTCCGCCAAATTATAGTTCCTTAACAAGCAGCTTGTTGCTACATCAGAGTAACGAACTCCGCTCACTCGCTGCACAGCCGGCAGTTCGTTCTCCAGCTCCTTACACTAAATTCCCAAACTGTCATCACCGCTGAGCAGCTTTTCAGTCGGCAGCTGTGACAGAAGAACAGCTAAACAACCTGGAATCAGACAGAAATGAACCCAACACCATTCCAAACGTGTAATCTGATCTTCAGAGTCTGACCAAATCAGACTGAGCCATAAAACTGCTGCAATATCAAGTAGAGCTCAGTTTTCTCAGTTTTAGCCAGATCAGTATTAATGTTGTTTTGTTCCAGCCAGTCTGTAAAGCATCTTAGAGCCCATTTTGTTTGGTGAATGGTGTTGGGTTAATTTCTGGCTGATTACAGGTTGTTTAGCTGTTCTTCTGTCACAGCTGCCGACTGAAAAGCTGCTCAGTGGTGATGACAGTTTGGGAATTTAGTGTCGTCTCATCTTCAGAGTCTGACCAAATCGGCTGTCGGTCAAATGTGATCCTAAAAGCTAACAGCTAACAAACTTGTTGCCTGGCAAAAAAAAAACAAAAAAAACTGTTGTTATGGTGAAATAACAGCACAGTTAGAACGCTTCTCAACCAATCGGCTTGCGTGGCCGGAACTAACTGTTTAATATTTCTGATATCATGCATCTCTACTACTAGCAGTTTGTGCATGTGTAAATGTGTGTGTCTGTCTCTCTCTGTAGGCGCTGGAGGGAGGATGTGTGTTGGACGTGTGTTTGGTTCGATGGCCGTCTGAGAACTGGGGTGTGTGCGTGGCCGGAGAGTGGAGTGTGTGCGTTTGGGCTCAGAAGGTGGGAGTCCAGCAGTGGAACCTTCTACACACTTGGACCTTCACAGAGGTGAACACATACATTCACACGTTCTTTTACCTCCATCTGGAGATTTTTTTCTCTGTGCATACAGGGACGAGTCAGTGGTTCTCAACTTACTGGGGATGCACTGAGGACCCCCATGCAACATGCATTTTAATGTGCTGATGAGCTGATTCAGCTGTGTTGGTGAACCGTTGTTTTATATTTGTATTTCAAATGTATAGATGTAAAAGCAACTAACACATTCTCTACAGAGAACATGCACATTTTAGTACAGTTATATATTATTTGCTGTTTATTAGTTTAACATAGTGGAAAAATATATGCTGTAACTTTTATGTAGGCCACTGTTTATATTTCCCCCAGTATGTTATTAGGGAAATTCAGGAAATCAACAAATGTATTGTTACACTGTTTGCTCCATTGACTGATTTGTCTTTAAACCTCTGCTTGTCTAGTCTGTCATCTCTCTTCAGGAGGTTCCAGATTCTCCTGGCTTGCTTTGTGTGTGTTTGGGGAGGCTGGAGATCACAGAGGTGAGGTATGTGGCACAAATATATACTCTACTGGGGGATGTTCAGTGTTACTACATTTACACCATCTGGCTTGTTGGTAGGGATGGCACAATACTACATTCACTTTTCTGATACTCTAATAATGCAAAGTTACACCATTTAAAATGAAGGAAATAATAATAATACCTAGTTTGTTACTCATTGACCTTAATGGGAATGTTAATGGGCTACATGTAGTTATTATACCTTCACCTTCTCAGATCTGTATATATGTGTGTTTGTGTACATGTACACAGGTCAGGCATTACATTATGACCACCTCCTTGTTTCTACGCTCATTGTCCATTTTATCAGCTCCACTTACTATATAGGTGCACTTTGTAGTTCTACAATTACAGACTGTAGTTCATCTGTTTCTCTGCATACTTTGTTACACTGTGTCCACTCACTGTCCACTCTATTAGACACTCCTACCTTGTCAGTCCACCTTGTAGATGTAAAGTCAGAGACGATAGCTCATCTGCTGCTGCACAGTTTGTGTCGGTCATCCTCTAGTCCTTCATCAGTGGTCACGGGATGCTGCCCACAGGACTCTGTTGGCTGGATATGTTTGGTTGGTGGACTATTCTCAGTCCAGCAGTGACACTGAGGTGTTTAAAAACTCCAGCAGCACTGCTGTGTCTGATCCACTCAGACCAGCGCAACACACACTAACACACCACCACCATGTCAGTGTTACTGCCGTGCTGAGAATGATCCACCGCCCAGATAATACCTGCTCTGTGAGGGTCCATGGGGGTCCTGACCACTGAAGAACAGGGTAAAAGGGGGCTAACAAAGTATGCAGAGAAACAGATGGACTACAGTCTGTAACTGTAGAACTACAAAGTGCACCTATATAGTAAGTGGAGCTGATAAAATGGACAATGAGCGTAGAAACAAGGAGGTGGTCATAATGTTATGCCTGATCGGTGTATATATACGTATACATGCTTTTGTGTGTGCTTCTGTAGGATCCTCTGCTGTCCCAGTATCGATGGAGAGTTCTCTCAGGCCGAGTTGTGTAAAGGTTCTCTACAGGCAGTGGAGGCTGTATCTGACTGCAGGCTGGCGTGCTGCTCTGCTCCTGGAGCCCAGCAGAAAGTCACGGTGTTCACACTCACTCATGATGGCAGGTAACGCTAAAGGCACAACTGGACATTTTTAGGCCAATAATTACTACACATTTACTCGCTAATCCCATGTGACGTGTATAGAAACTAACTCCTAGATTTAGTCCTTAGTTACTGTCTCAGTCCTTCACTGGTCGTTACTACTGTAAACTTTATTTCTACTTCCCTGCACTTTTCATTTTACTTGATACGTCCTCATTTTGTAATGATGAATATACATTGCCCCATCAAAACTTTGTTTACCTTTAAAAATGTTTTTAATACAAATGAGCATGTGATCTTTGTTTGGGTCAAAATAATAATAAATCATAAAAACAGTAATAAACTTTATTTGTATAGAACCTTTAATACATATAACCCAGCTCAAAGTGCTACGGACAAAGAGACGATAAAAATGATATAAAAATTCAATCATACAAAAACATAAAAGCAGCAGTAATGTAGTAAAAAAACTTGAAGATAAAAAGGTAATAAAAATAATAGTTAAATATAATAAAATGAAAATCAGAAAATAATAGAAATTAAAGAATAAGGGAATACCAGGCACGGCTGACTGGGACGAGACCCCGAGGTAGTCCAAGGACCAGGTGGAGGGATTACATCTCCAAATTGGCCTGGGAGCGGCTCAGGGTCCCCCAGAATGAGCTGGGGGTAGTTGTGGGGGACACGGTCATCTGGACTTCTCCGATCTCCCTATTGCAACCCAGACCCTGGCTAGATCAAGCGGGTTAAGAAGATGATGATGAAAGTAAAGAAACAACTAGGAACTTACAAAAAACTTACAAAGTTTGTAAAATTATGTTTTTAGCTGCTTCTTAGCGTTATGTACTGATGTCTCCTGTCTCAATTGGTTAATTGTGCTTTTAACATTTGGGAAACAAAATTGGAGTAGTGCGCAAAATCAAGGAAGACTCTTTGATAAACTTAGAGTTTTTATGAGTAATATATACAGTATTAGTAAATACTGATAATTAAGTCTTTTGCTGCCATGTTTATACTGTCCTTTTTATGATTAAAAAATCTAGAAATGCTGCCAGTGTCACAGCTTTGAAACTATTTTTTCACAACATTAATGGCAGATACTTTAAAATGTTACTTATGAGCAAATAAACAGTAGACAGAATCATTCACTCGCTCTCTCTCCTCTCTGCAGGGTTGCAGATACTCTATCCCTGGTCTCTACAAATCGAAGTATTCAGGCCTTGGCAGTTGTCGAAAGGAAAAAAGATGCACTGATCGGATGGACCGAATGTAAGACCCTCCTGATATGGTGAGGAAATCTGCCAGACCCTCTTTAGCTTTAAAAGAATTATTTATTATAATTTGTTAGCATGTTCCCTCGGTGCAGTGGACTTGTACGGTGTACATACATTTTAATCTCATCATGACCTTATGTTGGAGGTAGTTCCCTGGATTCATATTACTTTAAAAGTATTATAACATTTTAATATATACCTTATTACATAGTAAAAGGTATTATTGTATTGTGTAATATATATTTATATATATAATGTGTAATAAAATACATGTAAACTGTTTTGTACTGTTAAATGCAGCTCTTGCTCTTTTAAAATCAAAACATTAAAATCAGTTCATTGTCACTTATATCGTCATTATTCCAGGAATATGAAGTTAGGCCAACTACTTCAGACTATACGACTGGCAGAGACCATGTCCATGGCAACCTGTCTGAAGGGATATTCCTACAAGGTTGGGAATTTTAAAAACAAGTTCTTTTGTAAACTTGGAATATATGTTTTATACATTGATTTGATGCTTGTGTGTAATACATTATATGGCCAAAAGTATGCAGACACCCCTTTAGTGTGTTTGGTTGTTTCAGCCACACCCATTGCAAACAGGTGCATACAATCAAGCATACAGTGTGGTGGTTTCATAGAATGACAAGCTTCCAACAAGTCAGTCTGTCATAATTCTGCCCTGCTAGAGCAACAACAGCTTAACCACAAAAGAGCTCACAGAACGGCGCCACTAAGTGCTTAAACTGTCCTTGTTTGCAACACTTCCTGCTACTATTCCAGACAGCATCTGAAAGCAACATTAGCACAAGAACTGGATTGGATTGGGATTCCATGGTCAAGCACACAAGCCTAAGATCACCACGCACAATGCAAAGCGTCAGCTGGAGTGGTGTTAACCACACAGCCTGAGCTCTGGAGCAGTGGAAACACATTCAACGACGTGATGAATCACGCTTCACCTTCTGACAGTGTGACTGACAAATCTGGGTTTGGCAGTTGCGTAATGCGTAATAATAGTAAAGTTTGGTGGAGGAGGAATAATAATAATAGTCTGGTGCTGTTTTTCATGGGCTGGGCTGGGCTACCTAGTTCTAGTGAAGGGGAGTCTTATCGTATGATGCTCTAGAGAATTGTGCGCTTCCAACTTTGTAATAACAGCTTGTCGAAGGCCTTTCCCTGTTTCAGCATGACGATGCCCCCTGTGAGGTCTTGGTCTTTCGGGATGGATGTTGAGGAAATTGACTGGCCTGACACCTTTGGGGTGAATTGGAACGGCTGCGAAACGGGTCTTATCACTCAACATCAGTGTCTGACCTCACTAATACTCTGAAGGCTGAATGGAAATCTCCATAGCCTTGTTCCAAAATCTAGTGATAGGTTTTCCTGGAACAGCGGAGCTCTTACATCAGCAAAGGGGGGACCAATTCTCTATTAATGCCCGTGGTTTTGGAATGAGACATTCAACAAGTACATATAGATGTGATGTTTGGGAGTTAACATGCTTTTGGCCATGTAATGTATGTGCTTTATGCGTGTGTGTGAAAAAGATACTCTGCTTTCTCCCATAGGGGGCGCTCTGTGTATTACTTCAGCGTGCAAGTGCATGTGATGAAAAGAATGGTTCGGCTCTTTTCTCTCTAATCGCCATGAACCCACTTACGGGCAAATACGTCACACTGACCTCTGTCACCAGCCCAGCTCCTCACGTAGAGAGGTGAGAAGTGTGCCTATTGCCTATTACACAGGAGAATGACGTGAAGTACTGATTTGAATAGGACTCACTGTCATCTTAAGTATGCTGTCTAATGGTTTTTACCAGAAATATTGTTGAATAGAGAGAAAACACTATTTAAAAGAAGATGTGTACAGCACTCAAAGCCTGAATCATGTCCCAGGCCATTCTAAAACATCTCTGAGAAACGTCAGGAGAACATTACCATGTTGTCCTGTTTAGCACCTAATCCGTGCAGACAAACAGGAGCCTTTCTGGCACCTTTAAAGTAGACATAGTAAACAAATTGCGTTTTCCTTTTCAGTTCACAAGGAAGCAGAAGGCGTATAAAGAAACTTGTTAGTCTGACATTGTCATTCAAGACAGTTTGAAAAACAAAGTCTCCACCATTTTAGTGGTATATTTCCCTTTGTATTCCCAATGAACACATGTGATTCTACAAACTTAGATCTCTGCAAATAAGTATTCTTACACTGCCACTGTTATTTCACTTACAGATGTCTCTGATAGATATGCCTAAACAGGACAGCGTAAAAGAACAGTGTAACATCATACACCGATCAGGCATAACATTACTGTGGTCAAAGCTCCTTGTTTCTATGCTCATTGTCCATTTTATCAGCTCCACTTACTATATAGGTGCACTTTGTAGTTCTACAGTTACAGACTGTAGTCCATCTGTTTCTCTGCATACTTTGTTAGCCCCCGTTTACCCTGTTCTTCAGTGGTCAGGACCACCATGGACCCTCGCAGAGCAGGTACTATTTAACTACAGTAACACTGATGTGGTGGTGGTGTGTTAGTGTGTGTTGTGCTGGTACGAGTGGATCAGACACAGCAGTGCTGCTAGGGTTGACTCTCAATGACTCTCAGTGTAAACAAGCTTTCAGTCTCAGTCTTCTTTGAACATGCATGGCTTCTGTGTACCATCCTCAGCTGTGACTGTTGTAGTGGAAAGCCAACAGTAGTTTTCTCTGCTCCATATTGATGTGACCACTATGAGCCATGGTCATACAAAATCAGAGTCCAGAAAATGATCTTCACAGAGAAGAAAATGATACGATAAAGCACACCAAAACAGGAGGTAAATATGTGTCATCAAAATGTTAGAGTGGCCCATTAAGGAATGTGTACTCCACTGATGGGCTTCAAACTTGAGCTTGGACTTAATAAGGTGGGAAGCAAAGTGGGATCCGGTGGCTGCCAACGCCAGTCAAGTTTTCCCTACCACTTAATAGGCCAGACAGTTTAACCCTTAGAAACCTAAAGTTTTGGGGATTTTTTTTGGTATTTTTTGGGTCAATTACAATTACAGGTGCAATTATAAAGTATTTATATGTAACAGTCACACATGCCATACGTTGTTATTTTATATTATGACCCTGGGCTGTTCAGATATGCCATTGTTTGATATGTAAATGCTAATAGAAATTTGAATCTTTATGAATTTGGGTCATTTCTGATAAAAAATGTACCTAGCGCCTGCTAAATTTTGTATTTTTTTAATTATAGAGATCTTGAAAAAAGGTGCAGTTGTAGTTTTTCAGAACTTGTTAGTCTGGAGTGTCTGGGAGCTGAAAGTGCAATAATTTTGATATTGATTCATTCTGGTGGTTATTATGAGTAAAAATAAACAGCATAAGGCAGGCATGTTTTTTTAATTGATTTTCTGTCCTCTTGGATTCATGCTCAGAGCTAAAACTCTGATACACAGCAAGACAGCCTTTATTTTTAATTACAGATTGAGTTGCATATTTAATATCAGATATTTTTAACACTCAAAATGAATGTAAACTGAAAGCCCTTTTTTTATAATATGAAGGCTAAAAGCAGAGATGTAATATAACAGTAGTGAGTGGGGTTGAGGGTGATTTTGGAGCTGGATTGCTGGCTGATGGATGGTCACAGGTGGATGAAATCACTCCGGATGGTGAGGCCAGTCTCTCATGAGTGATCTGATGTGTGAATCATGTCGCTCTTTTAACCCTTTGTTGGAATATAAAGGCCAAACAGCAGAGCAATAATATCAGGGTTTTGGGTGATTTTCCGAACCGAATTACTCACTGATGCTGACGTCACAGCTCGATGATGTCATGCTTGCTAGTTTGGGGCGGGTCTGCTGAATGTCGTGATATGTGGATCATGTTTGTATCTTAAACCGTTCTGAAGTTAGGAAGGCTAGAAGTGACCTACCGTCTCCGGGTCCTAAGGGTTAATGGGCAGTTGCACTTTCTGAAAGTAAATTTAGAGAATGTAAAACTTGGTATATTTAAATGTATAGTGTACTGTGTGATACTATTCTGGCTCCACCCATGTTTGTTGACACCGTGTGCATACGACAACACTAATAGCTATGAAGGGTCTACCACCCAGTCTGAGGGGGAAAAAAAAAAAACGAGGCAGTTCTCATTTCCCATACTCTGCACATTTTTGCCTTTACTGCCTTAACACACCTCACCCAGTTTATTAAGTGCTACATATTTATCTAATTAGTTTAATGATATGTATAAAATTAAGGAAAATACCGAATTGTGCCGAGCATGGAGTCTTCAGACCTTGACTAATGTAATTTGCACTGAATTTTACTGCCAGGTCTATCATAAAGTTTTCCCAAACTACCACAGATGGCCTGAATTGAAAGGTCATAGTCCGTAAGTGTTACGCAACAGACTCCACTCTCAATAACACAGCCGAGTCTAATTTTTAGGTGGTGTTATTGCACTACTTTGATGTGAATTTGATTGGGGGGGCATAGCTATAGGTGCTGGGCTGCAAGGCCCCCCACATTTCTGACTGTTCAAAGGAAACAAAATCTAAGAAAATGTTACAAAATGTAATTCGTCATGTAATATAAATGTGATACAAAATGAACCAAAGTTTCATTCTGTATTGTATTTACATGTAAATGTGACAACCAAAGCGCTCCTTTCATGATCAAAAGTCGTCACCAAGGCAACTTTTATACTCCTGAATGCCTCCATCGATTGTGTAAAATCATTGTTTTAAACCAACTATGAAATAAGGTGTGGAACAACACTTTTTTCATCAGCAACATGTAAACACAGCACTGCTCCACTGATTCTGCAGACTGTGGGAACTTAGCTGAGCTGTGGTAGTTCCTAGCGTAGGCTACTAGGTACCTATTTATAGCGAGCTGTTTACCATGGTAAAAAAAAAAAAGTTGAATACTGCGGAACAAAAATTCACAGAGTGTGCCGAGTGCTGAAGCACATAACATGTAAAAATCCTCTACCCTCTATTGTATCAGTTCCAAACAGCCTCTGGAAGCAACAACAGCATAAAAACTGTGTGTCGGTAGATTCATGAAAAAGGCTTCCATGGCTGAGCATCTGCACACAAGCCTAAGATCACTATGTGCAATGCCAAGTGTCGGCTGGAGTGGTATAAAGGTATGAATCACGCCACCACTGGACTCTGGAGCAGTGGAAATGTGTTCTCTGGAGTGATAAGTTACTATTTATTAATCCCACAACAGGGAAATTAACCTCTGCATTTAACCCATCTGTGCAGGGAAACACCCACATACACACTAGTAAGCACACACATACTAGGGGGCAGTGAGCATACTTGCCTGGAGCGCCCGGGGGAGCAGTTGGGGGTTAGGTGCCTTGCTCAAGGGCACTTCAGTCACGTACTGTCAGCTCAGGGGATTGAACCGGCGCCCTTCCAGTCACAAGGATGGACCCACGACTGGCCCCAATATAAACACCAGGCACCACTGGGATACGAACCCAAGATCTCCTGTTTACTAGACAGGTGTTTTGACCAACTAAGCTAAATCACGCTTCACTGTCTGGCAGTCTGATGGAGGAATCCGGGTTTGGTGGACGTCAGGAGAATGTTACCTAATAAACATTGTTCCAGCAGTAAAGTTTGGCTGAGGAGGGATAATGGGCTGGGGCTGTTTTGGAATGGCATCTGATGGTCATACCTTTAGCCTTATATTGTATGTACTGGGCTAAAATCACAGATCTTGTCAGTAATCTGTGAATTGCAGTACCTTCCCAGGTAAAACTAATGCAGCTCAAATTTGACATTAAACACAATGTGCGAAATGCCTGCTGTGGATTTTCCAAGGGATCTGACGGTGGACGTGTTCTTGTTGAGAAGAAAAGCAGGATCAAATCTGCCATGCTGCTATGGTGTCTCCCATCTTTGTGAGTGACTTCAAGGTCGCTGAGCAGAGACAAAAATAGTTTCTTATTAAAGTGGTACGGTCTCATGTGTAAATGTATTCAGAATAAGAGATGTTTTTAAAAAAAAATGCATATTATAACCCCATTTCCAGAGGAGTTGGTTCCAAAACCTGTATATATCGCTCAGCATTAATGGTGCCTTCACAGATGCGCACGTCACCCATGCCATGCGCACTACTGCACCCCTATACCATCATGAATACTGGCTTTTGAACTGTGCACTGATAACGAGCTGAGTGGTCTGTAGCCCAGAGGACACAGTGTCCATGATTTCCTAAAAGAGTTTTAAATGTTGATTTGTCGGACCACAGGACACTTTTCCACTTTACCTCAGTCCATTTTAAATGAGCTCAGGCCCAGAAAGGGTGGCAGCGTTTCTGGATCCTCTTTATATATGGTTTCTTCTTTGCATTTTAGAGTTTTAATTAGCATTTGTAGATGCAGCGCCGTACTGTTTTCACAGACACTGGTTTTCAGAAGTGTTTCTGAGACCATGCAGTGATTTCCACTACAAAATCATGTCTGTTTTTAATGCAGTACTGCCTGAAGGCCCAAAGATCACAGCCAGCAAATACTGGTTTTTGGCCTTGTCCCTTGCATACAGTGATTTCTCCAGATTCTCTGAATCTTTTAATGTTATTATGTACTGTAGATGATGAAAAGCAAACGTTATTTGCTATTTTACGTTAAGAAACGTTACGTTAAGAAACGCTTTTCATACCCAATCATGTTATTGACCTGTTGCCAAACAACCACCAGGTGTTTTTTTAGCATTGCACAACTTTACCAGCCTATTGTTGCCCCAGTCCCAACTTTTTTGAAATTGTTTTTGGCATCAAATTCAAAATGGGCAAATATTAAAAAAAAAACAATACAATTTCTCAGTTTCAACATTTCATATGTTGTCTTTGTACTATTTTTTTAATAATACGCGATTTAAATGATTATTACATCGTACATTTTGTTTTTATTTACATTTTGCACTGCGCCCCTCCTTTTTTGGAAATGGGGTTGTATATACAGTTATACTAACTATATATTGCTCTGTCTTTTCTCTGTAGGTTGATAGATGGTGACGTTTGTGAATCTGCGCTTGTGGGTGTTTTCCAGTCTGGCCATCTGTCCATCTGGGATTTGAGAAGAGGCGTGGCCAGCGTGCTTGGAAATGGGGAAGCCCAGCTGTGTCGGCTAGCGCGGTGGGCGGGGCCAAACACTCTACTCACTGGATATCTAAATGGAGATGTTAATATCTATCAGTATAAACGTCCAGAAACCAAATTAATTTGTCATTAGTGGCTCTTTCTCTTGTTTCGTTATTTATTTATCAAAAAGAGTTTGTGTTTATGTGTGTAAGTAAAGAGTTTGCTTCAAAATAGAACTATTATAAACTTGCACATGCCAATTTTAGCTTCAGAAATGGCTTCAAAATAAAACATTTACATAAAGTATACACATGAAGCACTTTTTCTGCCATGTCTTTGAAAGAAAAGAAACATTTTTATGTCCTGTGTGTGTTTAATATATATATGTAGTGCAAGTATTGCTTTTATTTGCAAATAAACTGACTTTTAGAGGCTTGGAGTGTGAAGATGTATTCATTTCAGAGGTGATGTCAAAGGAATAGTTTGGTGAAACATCAGCTTTACCCAGTCTTCCACTTACCTCAAAAGTAGTTGATTAGCCAAGGCATGTTTGGTGTCCGACTTTCATTTCTTTAGCTGAGAAGTGGAGCTACTAGGCAAACGTTGCTAACAAACACTACAACTCAGTAGTCACCCAAATAGCCCAAATGGTTTCTGTGAAAATACACTCTCAAACCAGCCTCGGATCTTCATTAAAGTTGTGCCAACTTGATGTGGTTTAACTGTGAAAATGAAAAAAATTTCACCGGCAGGGGCATTTTAGCTGGTAACACTGTCACCATGGCAACATTTGTGTGGCTTCATGTCGCCTTCAGTCACTTAACATTACTGCTTTGAATTACGTGGTGCTATTCACACTTACCAGCGCTAACATGTGAACACAGCACATACGTGTTCACTTAAATAGGTTACCGGTTCATTACCCTTCTAAACCACAATAATGGTTTTTGCCAGGCTGTTGCTATGGTATTTTATATGGTTGCTAGGGTGTTGATAGGCAGTTACTGTGGAATTCCAGGTGGTTGCTATGGTGTTGCTACAGGTTCGGTATGGTATCCCAGGTGGTTGCTAGGGTGTTGATATGGAGTCCCAGGAGCAAATGTGCAAAATCACTAATAAGAATAGGAAATAGCATATAAATCAGAAAACAATAGTGTTGCTGATAATAGCTGATAATTTCGGATAACTAATAATTTCTCTATCTGTATTTGAAAGGCTGACAGGTACTTCTTGGCTCACCCTGCTAGAGAAAACAGCATATGTTGTGTTTTGGCAATGGTACGCTGGTCAACCAGCATGACCATGGTGAACCAGCATCATAGTTAGCATAGCTGTAAATGAATGTACATTTAACATCATTGTGGCTGGCGTTGGGAGCCGCTGACTTTCAGTGATGGTGTCGTCTCGATCCAGCACAGTGTTAACATTGAAATATCAAACTCAACCAAAATGATGATTCTGCTGGAAAATCAATATTAGACCAATTTCATCCTGCAGTCAGGGTCAGGACTCTGCAGGCCTTATTTACTTAAAGGGGAACTCAGATTTTTCTAAATTTCTGCATAATTAAATGGTTAAGATGTAAACAAAGTCATTCAGAGTGGTTTGGTGTGAAATGCTGGGTTCTAGAGAAACTTAAGAGTCAGAACTGTTCACAGTGGTGGTGATAGGAACCAGACGTCCACCTCTAAAAGCTCCATGTAGTAAGCAGAAACTTACTACATGAAGTGGTTGTGAATACTCAGCCTTACGTCTGATACATTATTTTGGCTTAAAACATCTTTTTAATCCATTTAATATAATCTTTCATAGCGGAGGGGTACATGCAGGGCGTTGTGAGGCAAAATAGTCCCCAAAGAAAACGTATTATTTCAGATTTATGACTATTGTACCATCATTTACGTTACATATAAAACCCAGAAGACACATCTAGGTTTACTGGTTGTTTTGGGTAGTGAATAAACTGGCTGTAAGCGTGTTGTAGACATGGTGACCCCTGGTTCCCATCACCACCACTGTAAAGACATCTGAGTCTGTAAGTTTCTCAGCAAATGAACGGTTTAATGTCAAACCGCTCCAAGTGGCTGTTTACTACGGAGCCCCGCTGGTGACATCCTGTATAAATAAAAATAATGCCTTAGTAATAATGACTTAGTAAGGGGTGGGAATGAGATCACGCCTTACTAGGTCACGGCCACGCATTAGGATCTCATTCCCACGCCTTACTAAGTCGTGGCCACGACTTAATCATCTCATTCCCGCGCCTTACTAAGTCGTGGCCACGTATTAGGATCTCGTGGCCACGCATTATTTTTATTTATACAGGATGTCTCCAGCGGGGCTCCGTAGTTTACATCTCAACCACTGAATTATTCAGACGATTTGAAAAATCAGTGGACTTCTCCTTCAAATGTACTGTAGGGGGCAGCATCAGGGGCCGAAGCCCCGGCTCCTCCACGGGGCCCAGCAGCAGAAGAAGACGGCCGAGGACAAATCCCTCTGCATTGTGGGAGCAGTGTGTGTGTGAGAGAGTAACATGGCGGCGCGCATCCTTGCCCGGTGTGTCCGATCACTGAACCCCCGCCTGGCCGTGCTCAGTCGGATCCATGTGGCCGCCCTCTCCTCGGCTCCTCTCGGCCGCAGCCGGAGCCTCTGCCAGCGGGCGCTCGGGCACAGCGGACACAGGCCCGCTCTGACTCAGGTGGGTCACACGGTCACAGGCGGTGACCTACCCGCTCGGCTGACTTCTGCCAGCGTCCACTCGGGCGCTCAGACGGACAGCGGCCGAAAGTCAAGCTCAGGTCCAGGATTTGGGTCGAGTCTAACTGTAGATCCAACATCCAGGAGACACAGACGCGCCTGTCGGCTCGGCGCTGCAGTGGCCCGGATTACTAACACGCTAGTAGTGCTAATGTTAGCTAACCTCTCCGTTTTCTGACAGATTGGTCACCGAAAGCCTCGCTTTTAGGTCGCTGCTGTGGAGTGGAAGCCTTTAAAAGGGCTGGACAACCTTCCTAAATAGTTAGCACGAGTTAAATCGCAGTGTAAAGCCGTTCAGGGTGGTTTGGTGTGAAACGCTCCTTTCTGGAGAAACTTGCAGTCGGAATTGTTCACAGTGGCGGTGATAGGAACCAGACGTCTGAAGAGATTAAAGGGGAAGTCCACTGTTTTTTCAAAACTTCTGCATAATTCAGTGACCGAGAGGTAAACAGTCACTCGGAGTGTTTTGACGTGAAATGGTTTATATGCAGAGACTCTTGCAGAGAGTTCTTTACAGTGGTGGTGAGAGGAACCAGAGGTCACGATGTCTATGACACAAGTATAGCTGTTTTATTTACTATCCACAACCACCAGTGAACCTGCACGTGCTTTCTGAGGTAAAATAGTCTGAAAAAATCTGACGAATTTCCCTTAGAACACCCTTCATGTATCCCTTCGTCATGAATTGATTAAGATAAACTGACTAAAATACGTTTTAGGCCAAAACTTTGTCTCAAAACTATCATAAAACAGTGTCTCAGACATGAGGCAGTGATTTCATAACCATTTCATGTAGTGACTTTCTGTGAGGGAGATTTTAGAGGTGGACGTCTGGTTCCTATCACCGCCACTGTGAACAATTCTGACAGTTTCTCTAGAATGGAGTATTTCACACCAAACCACTCTGAATGACTCTGTTTACATCTTAACCATTCAATTATGCAGAAATTTTGGAAAATTAGTGGAGTTCCCCTTTAAGAGCGGTGTGGTGTGAAATACTTCGTTCTAGAGACGTTCACTGAGGCCGAATGGCTCACAGTGGTGGTGGTAGGAACCAGACGTCTGAAGAGTTGAGTGTTTGTAAAAGGTTCATCTCGGCTGGCAGGGACTTTGTTTTAAGATGGTTTTATGATAGTTTTGGCCAAAAAAAAATGCATTTGAATCAGTTTAACTGTGGTTTTAAGCCAGGAGTGTCCAAACTTTTTTCAAGGAGAGCCAGGTGTCAAAAATACCTGGGCTGAAATATTATTCGCTGAATAATATGCAAAATATTACGTTTTCAAAATATCCGCGCATAGAATCGGAGAGTGCAGTGCAGAAAGTGCAGTGTTTCTGGGGGGCTGAGGGCCGAAAAGACAAAACAGCATACGAAGAAAGAAGGTAGGTGTTAGGTTGGGTTTTTAAAATGTGATTATTATGTTAGAACATAAAACTACATTTTATTACTTAAATACTTAAAAAAAATAGAAATTTAAAAGGAAAATAAGAGCTCAGTAAGTTACATTGAGTGTAAAACGTCTCTGGTTGGGTAAGCAGGTGGGGTCAGGTGGGGTAACTTTCTAGTGGGCTGCATCAGACATCCTCACGAGCCACACTTTGGAAAGCCCTGTTCTGTGTGCTATATAATGCTTCTCTCCATGCAGTATTCCTTTGGTATTGTCTTACAGTAGTGTATAATATATGTACTATAGGTAGCACTACAAATGGCACATGTATTATACATGTTTACATAAGTTGCTATAAGTGGCACAGTGGGTAGCGCTGTCACCCTACAGCAAGAAGGGTCTGGGTTCGATTCCCCAGCCGGGCAACCAGGGCCCAAAGACATGTAGGCAGGCAAATTGGAGATGCTAAATTGCCCCTGGGTGTGAGTGTGTCTGCCCTGTGATGGACTGGTGACCTGTCTAGGTCTTCCGCCCGGTGACTGCTGGGATAGGCTCCAGCAGCCCCCATGACCCAGGAGGATAATCAGCTTAGATAAAAGTGTGTGTGTATATACCTGTAGTCATCTGTAGCAATTGTCTGCATATATTATAAGAATCTTACAGGAATCCTGTAGTATTACTGTTCACAGGGTATTTGGGGTCTAACTGACTATTTTTGGAGGAAATAAAACAGCAACATTTGGCTCCATGTGCACCTCAGCCAGGAGCGAAGTCTGGGGAAGTGTAGTCGGTGCCGTACCATATGGTAGCCGTACCATATGGTAACAGCACCAAGTGGCTCATCTACTGCAGCCGGTTCTGTTGTAAAGCTGCTGTTTTCCTTTCTGTTATTTCAGATTCAGTACAGCTCCCCCCTGGTCTCTCAGTTGCGGCAGTACGGTGACCTTCCCCCATTAACCATAGACTCCATCCGCGACAGGGTCCTCTATGTGCTTAAGCTCTACGACAAGATCAACCCCGAGAAGGTAAGTCGCCTCATTATGCCTCCTGTATTCTGTACTCAGGCTTTGTCTGCAGTGCCTCCTAACTGTGCTGTGTGATGTTTCTCTGTTAGCTTCAGGTCTCGTCTCATTTCATGAAGGACTTGGGGCTGGACAGTCTAGATCAAGTGGAGATCATCATGGCCATGGAGGACGAATTCGGTTTGTACTAGTGTTGTAGTCTGCATTGTGCTCAAGAATTGATTTTTAGGGGATTAATAAATGCTATTTTCTTATCGCTGCTGTCCGAACAAAACCTCATATCTCCATTTTTGTAGTTTTTGACATAATTTGAAAATGCCTGTTGTCCTTTACATCATGTGTACATTTCACGCTGAATGGACAGAAAAAAATGAAAAAACTCTGGTTCCATTGACTTACATTAAAAGTAAAGTATGTTTTTTCCTTCTCCTGTAAAGTTACCGTTTTGGAGATATGAGGTTTTGTTCTGACAGCAGCAATATATTAGTTCAAAATAGATCAGGTGCTGTCTTCTACTTGTGGCCTTTAAAGTCAACCTGAAATCGAAATGGATCTTTTTTTACCTTGTTAGTTGATGTCCGTTGTCACATCAAGCATAATCTGCCATGTCTTATCATCTAAAAGACAGAATTATCAGTTCTTTGTGATCTTTGACCGAGGTGTAGTGACTTTTGCCGCCTCTTAACGCCGTTTGACGTTTGGCTGTGTCACCATGTTCCAGCAGGCGGGAAGAATTATCCTAATCTGTAATATCTTAGCATGTCCCCCACTCTGCTCACACATGTTAGGTAGTTACATCCGTAACAGGTTTATTTTAACGATAAAAGTCGTTATTGCTGTGAAAGTTTAAGAAAAGTGAAAGCAGACCTTTGCTGACCTTAATGTACATAAAGTGGGTATTACCTACATCTAAATTGGATAGGTACTCAGTCAATATAGACATTCAATATTTAAGGGATGTGATCATAAGTGGGTGCAAAGAACCTCAGATTTTTGGCTCATCCCCTCTTAGGCAAGTCAGTGATTAACTGATTAACCTTTTACCGACAAATAAATAAGTGTTCAAACAGTGCTTTTGGGTAAAATGTTAATTCAATTGGTGACCATTTAAAAAAAAATCTGAGGATCGTTTTTAGAACTGTGCACATGTTCCAGGAGCCCTGCTTAGTGTTGCGCAGCACTGGGTTTCCTTGAGTCAACCCTGACTCTAGACTCCTGCTGCTGGAGTCGACTCCTCAACGCCACGTAATTTTTACCAGTAGTGCCAGAGCCATTGATTAAATGTCTAAAGTTAGCTGTGATGACAGTTTGGGAATTTAGTGTAAGGAGCTGGAGAATGAACTGCCGGCTGTGCAGCGAGTGGGCGGAGTTCGTTACTCTGACGTAGCAACAAGCTGCCTGTTAAGGAACAATTAATCACCAACTAATTACAGTTGGTCCCGAATCCGCATCCCTAATCCCAACCAATATTCCTCATGAGATTCCTCTGAGCCATAATCCGTAATTGTCCGATCGCAGATGAATAAGAAACCTCACTTTGAAGGCACTAAAATTCCTGGTTCTGCAAGATTTGACCTTACTGTTAAAACCTTCTGCTGACCCAAGTTTAGACCTAAAAGTACCCGTAATTACCACTTTTACAGTGTAAAGTGTTCCTGCTGCTGTGATGGGAGCCAAACTGACTGGGCTGTTCTGCTTCGTGTTTCTTCTGTTTGTGTAGGTTTCGAGATTCCTGACGCAGAAGCAGAGAAGCTGATGACACCCGAGGAGATCGTTCAGTACATCGCAGATAAGAAGGATGTCTACGAATAAACTTTTGTTATTTCATGTAAGTCGACGCAGTGGACGCAGTTATACTATTCAAAGACTCATTGAGCCTCATTCACCAATATCCTCGTAAGTTATTTCTTAAATTAGTTCTTGAGAAGGTTCTAAGAAAAAGTCTGTCAGATTCATGACGTGTTCTTAAACTGCAGAACTGTTCTCACCTTTGTGCTCTCGAGCGTGTTTAGACTCTGTTCTCACCTTAGAACAAATCCCACATAAGGAAACACCGGTGAATATCAGAGTCTTCGTGGGAACTGCGTAAGTGGGATTTAAGAAGAACCTTCTTCTAAAGAACGGTTGGTGAATGAGGCCCAATGAGAGAAATGTCTAAAGTTAGCTGTTGTACTGATAAACCTCAGTATAAATTATTATGCTGTATGAAAACTGTACAAGACTTTTTCACAGTGGAACTAAACAGCCAACTTTTTTAGTCTGTTTATATAATTAGACTCGCAGCGTAATCTGAACTAGCGCCAGTGAGAATTTCAGTTATTGCAGTGCTTATAAGTTTTTCTTCCTTTCTTCCTTTGTTTCTTTTTTCTTTCATCTTTCTTTCTTTTCTTCCTTTATTCTTTCCCTCCTTTCTGTTTCTTCCCTTCTTTTTTCCTTTTCTTTGTTCTTTGTTCTTTCCTTCTTTCTTTTTCATTTATCATTTCTTTCTTCTTTTCTTCCTTTTGTTCCTTTCTTTTCTTCCTTTTTCTTCTTCCTTCTTTCTTTCTTTTTCTTTTTTGTCTTGCTATTTTATTACTTTCTTTGTGAATTCTGTGACGTGTTGCTCATAAATATTTTTTGTGTGATAGTTTTGTTTTGCACTGTCCCCTCGTTTCAATACTAGCTTTAACAAGCCCTCGTCAGGTTGGTCTCGCCATTAAAAAGTGCCATTACTTTCTTAGCTCGAGAGAAGAGAGTGAGATGAGCCCTCGGAGGAGTGAGGGATCAAGTGAACACGAGTGTCCACTCAAGGAACTTTAGAAATCATTGCAGCCTGATACATTTTCCTGATACATTTTCCAACTCAAAAAATGGCTGACAAAGCTGTTTATAAGCCGTCAGCAGTTGATGACTTTAAACTGCTTAACATTACAAATTAAGATTCGATTTGCTGGGCTTTAGTTTGTAAACTGCTCCGTCATCCATGCGCGACTGCTGGTGCCACTTCCTCGCTGCACTCTTCCAGCTCGTTAAAGGCTACATATATAACAACAAAAACCAAGGCTCTACACAATTTTATAACCAGACGAAACCAGAAATTATTCATAAATTTATGTGCATTACGTTCAAACGTCCCAAAAAAAGTTCTGTGTTGTGAAGTTTGCCAGTCGCTTAGCTCTCTGAGGCTGATCTAACTGAGGGCGAGCGTTCTTACTGAATAATCCGCTCCTCGCGGCCCCCTCCTCCCCTTCTGCCACGAGTGACCACTTGTGTAATGCAGGTGTGACGCAAACGTGAGTGGTGAGTCGAAGTGGATGAGGACATGTTAATAAATGAATGAGTGCAGTGGGGCCCTTATTTCCTTCAGCAAATGCAAATCTTTAAATTGTAGTTAATTATAGAGGTTCTTTTTGAAAGAAATAGAAGAGGTTCAGTTAAAATATTTGAAATTGTGTGTGTTGGTGTTTATATTTGCACAGTATGGCAATAATACTGAAAAATACTGATGATAATTTTCTTTTTCTTTTTCTCAGGTACAGAGTTTTGTGTGGTGAGACGTGAATAGTGGCGAAGGCGCCGACACACTGTTTATTTTATTCACATGCGAAAGCATAAATCTGTAATCCTGTTTTGGCCTCTTCGTTGTTTGTGATTGGCAGAATCTGCCCGACACACTGCAGAATGCTACCAGTTACCAGTTAGAATTCATTCAGACATGAATAATTCATATAAATATTACCATAATAAAGACTTATTAAGATTCCAGTGCGGGCTTGGTCTTTTTTTCTAAAACTTGCATCTGTTTATAGAAGATGACCCAAACTTTCCTGTGTTGATAGTTGATAGAACAGATGATGACATGATGCATCAATATTCTTTCGCTGGAAACTCACTGTGGGCATCTCAGTGGTCCTGGGGTCTGTCTCGCATAGCACGTTCATCTCATACATAGTTCCTGACTCGGTTTCAGTCAGAAAACTTAAACAGTGACGTCTCATGATGGCGGTTAACAGCTTTCTCTGTTAATCCAGGTTTAGATACTCAAGGTGTAAAGAGTGCGTTCAGACCCGGCAGGTTTGGTTGGATTAAAACGAGCCCTGGCACGGTTGCTGTATTAGTGCGGTTCAAGTGAGACCGCTGCCATCCGAACCCCCTGAGCTGGTCGGTCTTGGTTCACTTCGAAACTAACTCTGTGCAGTTCATCTGAGATGTGAACGCAATACAGACCAAAGACATTTAAATGGACCAAAGACGGAATGAACAGTCGTGCTGTTCTCTTCAAAATCTCTGAATCTGCCATTATACAGGGAGATTCACTCGAAAGAGGCCCTGAATATTCTGTAATAACTCTCACCAGGACAAAACAATCTGAACAAGACAACGTGCAATGTGCTCCTCAGTGGAGCTTCGAACAAGCCGGGATGCCCCTGCGTCGAAGCAATGAGGTAGACGCCGGACAGTCGCTGTGACGTTTAACCTCCATTTGCAACTTCCGGGTGCATACCCCCGTACCCTTTCATGTGTCTGGCAGAAAACTGAGATCACTTCCAGCATCGCATGTAATGCAATTGATTACACACACACACCAATCAAACATAACACACTAACACACCACCACCACCTCAGTGTTACTGCAGTGCTGAGAATGATCCACCACCCAAATAGTACCTGCTCTGTGAGGGTCCATGGGGGTCCTGACCACTGAAGAACAGGGTAAAAGGGGCTAACAAAGTGTGCAGAGAGACAGATGGACTACTGTCTGTAACTGTAGAACTACAAAGTGGACCTATATAGTAAGTGGAGCTGATAAAATGGACAATGAGTGTAGAAACAAGGAGGTGGTCAGTTAAAAACGACATAAAACCAACAAGATCAGATTCAGAAAGTTCAGTGGACATTATCAGAGTTATTGTATGTCAAATCTACCCAATCAGTTGTGACTTTTGGAGTTTTCACATTATCTGATTACTCAAGTGCATATAAACGTGCTGATCGGATTACTGACAAAATCTGATATTCTGCAGTTATCGGATTATTGTAGTGCATGTAAACACACTCAGTGTTAACTTCCACCCCATAAATCTCTTCCAGGCTGATCAAACACTAGGTGAGAGTTCAAAATGTATGGGGACCAGTTAAGCTTTTTTACCCAGTTGTAATTTGTTAATGGTTAATCACATTGGCTTCCATTTTCTCAACACAGAACAGTCCCTAAATTATACATTTTCAAGCTTTTCAACTGATCAAACTGTCAGTGAACACTTTTCTCAAACAGTGATCGGCTCACAGTAGAAGTAATACATCCGTTTAAAGTAGCTGAATTAACTAATTAAAAGGGGTGTCTACAAACTTTTGGACATGTGGGCTATGATCCCTACCTTAACTATCTACTTTCTTGATTTTGTCTGACCTGTAACCCATGACCTAGCAATGTTTTGCTAGCTTGTGGGGCCACATGGCTACCAGATCAGGCAAAATCAAGCAAATCAATCAAATAGTTTTACTGCCATTTATTTACATGGATGAATTTGGCAGACTCTCTTATCCTGAATGACCTATAATTTAATCATGTTACAGAGATATGCAGATGTAGCGTTGGGAGTCTTGCCCAAGGACTCTTATTGCTGACACTGTGCACTTACAGCATGTATAATCATCATAGAAAAGCACTGACCAAAAGAACCAGATGCTCTGGAGAAGCTACACATGAGCCCATGGTCACCACGCTCAATGCTAAGTGTTGACTAGAGGATTATGGAGCTCCATCCAATACCTTTGGGATGAGTTGAAGTGTCCAGAACTGGTCATCCAACATCACTACCTGACCTCACTAATTCTCTTGTGGCTGAATGCAATCAAATCCTCAGAGCAATGTTCCAACATCTAGGGTAAAGCCTTCCCAGAAGAGTAGAGGCTGTTACTGTAGCAGAGTGACAACAACCTCTACATTAATAGGCTTGATTTCAGAAGAAATCCTCTGAGCAGGTCTCTACAAACTTTGGGGAAAAACAGTAGCAGTACTGTAGAAAAATGACACCGTTAAATGATTAGATGAGTAGAAAGCAGCCTCCCCTCAAACTGGCTCGAAATAGATCACTTTTTCTCCACAGAGTAAAGATTTACAACGACACAGTGACACCTAGTGGAACTTAGTTGAACTAGCTTTTGTTTTGTGATTTAGGATCGTGTGCTTTAAGCTTCTCTCAACATGAACTTCTCAGAGCTGTAATTCGTTTTCATATCACAGCTGATTTCTACACCATTTCTCCATAATTATGTGTGTATGTTTGGGAGGAGGGCCGTGCCTGAGGTTCTACCGCTTTCCAATCTAATGTCCTAAATAAATTTTCACACTCCACCACCACCTCTTCTCCCTGTTCTTCAGTCCTATCTCAGTCCTACCTCCATTCATCAAGGGTAGGGTGGTGGGGGTGGTGGTCTGGCCTTCTGGCTTCAGGCAGGAGCTACTCAGAACTTCAGCCCAAGTTCTCAGAGTTCTCCTCTCCTCGTTCTACAGTCTCTTCTCATACTACAACCATATGCTGACGTTGTCTGGGCTCTCAAAGTATGAGTTCTATATTGGGGATCTCTACAGAGCCCTGATATCCTGTGTAAATAAAAAGAATGTGTGGCCACGACTTAGTAAGGTGTGGGAACGAGAAAATTAAGTGGTGGTCACGACTTAGTAAGGCATAGGAACGAGAAAATTAAGTGGTGGCCACAACTTAGTAAGGCGTGGGAACGAGATCCTAATGCATGGCCATGACTTAGTAAAGCGTGGGAACAAGATAATTAAGTGATGGCCACAACTTAGTAAGGCATGGGACCACGATAATTACGTGGTGGCCATGACTTAGTAAGGCATGGGAATGGGATAACTAAATAGTGGCTACAACTTAGTAAGGCGTGGGAACGAGATAATTAAGTGGTGGCCACGACTTAGTAAGGCATGGGAATGAGATCCTAATGCATCGCCATGACTTAGTAAGGCATGGGAACAAGATCCTAATGAGTGGCAACGACTTAGTAAGGCATGGGAATGAGATAATTAAGCCTTGACCACAGCTTAATAAGGCATGATCGCGTTCCCACACCTTACTACGTCGTGGCCATGACTTAATTATCTCGCTCCCACATCTTACTAAGTGGTGGCCATGCATTAGGATCTCGTTCACATGTCTTACTAAGTCGTGGCCGCCACTTCGTTATCTCGTTCACACACCTTACTAAGTCATGGCCATGCATTAGGATCTCGTTCCCACATGTTAACGCGGCGACCACACACACAGGATGTCACTAGCAGGGTTCCATAGATCTCACTCATAAAAGCCTTGAATATGTCAAAATCTCTGAAAGAGTCTATCAGATAAATCCAGTTCAAAGCTCTTTCTGTGGAATCAAACCAGTGAACTGTCTTTAAAAGCCAGGGATTTGGACGACACACTGAAGAGCCTTTCAGGTGGGCATATGGATCCACCTACGATGAACCTAAACCCAAAAGACTGGGATGAAAATTCCTCTACTAGTACAAAAATGGAAGTGATGGTCCACTTCTGGGAGAATATGATGCATGAGATGTTTATTTGGAGGCACCAGCTATGAGAACACCAGATTTCAGTGCTTAGTATCTGGCTACCGGCTACTGTTTGTAAAGTGGGATAGCTGAAAAATGTACATGGGTTCCAAACGTCACGGTACTGTTTAGTCTGTTGAAGTTTGGACTAGGTTAAGTATGTGAATGGAGCTTTAGTTGAGCTTAGGTGTGGTGAAGTTAGGACTAACGGAAGCCCCCTGTTTCCTCTTATGGATGCAAGCGCTGAGCCTGGCTAACATTTCCTTTTGAGGTGTCATAAAAAAAAGCTCTCCCTCCCTCTGTGTTAGTGTGTCGCTGGATGTCTGCATGGTCATCTCTTGCTGTGATGATGAGCCCTAGGAGGAAGGCCTCGGGCCTTTCCATGTGTGCATGTTTTAGGGGCAGTAAGTGAGCTTGCAAGAAAAATGGATTACATTATTTGGAGATGCATAGACATACAGTGTTGTTACAGATGAGAACCAGGCACAAATATAAAATGCATCCTGTACTAATGTTATGGCATATTTTAGGCTTTATTTCTTTACCATATGTTAAACTCTGTGCACCAAAACTGTAGAGGATATACATTATTTTTTACATAGAAAATCAACAAAACATGTATCTTGACCAGGGACACCGAAAATTTTGTATACAACTGCAGAAACATCGACTAATAGACATGATATTCAGTTCTTGATTGTCACAGTTATTAAACTCAAACAGCAAAAACTCAGAGTCTTAAAAAATCTAAATATTGTTAATTTAAATTTCTAATATTCTAGTTTTCTAAATTTCTAATTTTCTGCTAAATTTCCTTCGGGATCAATGAAGTATCTATCTAACTATCTTGTAGCGGTGGGGACGAGGCTACCCAGAATTCTTTGTGGGTTTTTGTTTTAAATATTTTGTGCTATATCACGTGTCAGGCCCCAGTCCTCCTCGTGGGCCTGGAGATTTCTGCACACTGCCTCATTAAACACACCTGATTCGGCTCATCAGCTAATTAGCAAAGCCTTCATGCACTGAATTCGGAGCATTAGATGAGGGTAAGCGCTGCTCTCCACAGCACTTTGGCCCAGAGGTTTCCAGTTTGACATGCCTGCACTAAAACATGCTATCCTCGTGCTAAAGATTAGCATGCCATGAGCAAAAAAGGCACATTTTTAGCACCATTTCCACAAATCCCGATAAA